GCGGGGCGGCGCGGCGGGCTCGGGGGCGCGGGTGGAGGCCCAGGCCAACCCCAGCACCAGGGCGACCAGCAGCAACGCGAAGAGCACGGTCACCTCATCGCCGACGCCCTCGATCAGCGCCATGGCGGCGGCACGCGGCTACCGACCTGCGGGCATAGAGCGGGACCGTCAACCCGGGGGGTCGCGGGCGACCGGAGCCGCCGTCGGCCCGGAGCCCTCACCTGCCGCCATCGCGCCGCTTCCGCCTGGCCGCAAGGCACGGCGGGAGCTGTAGTTCGGTGCTGCGCATGCGCGGAGGCGCACAGCGAGACGCCGGGAGCTGTAGTCCTATTCTGCGCATGCGTGGAGGCCGCCCCCCGCGGGGCACGCCGGGAGCTGTAGTCCTGCCCCGGGGCTGGACGTGCCTCCGGAACGCCCAGCCCCGGTGGGCGGGACTACAGCTCCCGGCGTGCCCCGCGCCAGGCTGAGCCTGCGCAGTCGGGCTTCCTGGGCCAGGGCCCTTCCCTCATCCGCCATTGTCGGTTTGAGAAAGTGCCGGCCCCTGCAGCCTGAGAAGACGTGGTGCTCCGGGGTGGCCGGAGGAAGGGGCGGCAGCTGGGCCTAGGTTCAAAGAGTGTGGGCGTTAATGCGGTGGTGCTTGATGAGGCCTAGGAGGAAAGGATTGCTGTCGGGGGCAAGAATAGACTCGACTAATTTCAGTTGGGAGGGACCTACAACCATCATCTAGTCCAACTGCCTGACCGCTTCAGGGCTGACCAAAAGCGAAAGCGTGTTGTTAACGGCATTGTCCAAACGCCTCTTAAACAGTGACAGGCTTGGGGCATCGACCATCTCTCTAGGAAGCCTGTTCCAGTGCGTGACCACCTTCTTGGTAAAGAAATACTTCCTAATGTCCAGGCTAAACCTCCCCATGTGTGACTCTGAACCATTCCCAGGCGTCCTGTCCCCGGATCCCAGGGGGAAGAGCTCAGCACCTCTCTATCCACATCCCCTCTTCAGGAAGCTGCAGAGAGCAATGAGGTCGCCCCTCAGCCTCCTTTTCTCCAAACGAGACAAACCTAGAGTCCTCAGCCACTCCTCACGGAACATGCCTTCAGCACTGTCACCAGCATTGTCACCTTCCTCTGGGTGCATTCGAGGACGTTCACGTCCTCCTCAAATAGTGGGACCCAGAACTGCACACAGTGCTCCAGGTGAGGCCACACCAACACTGAATACAGCAGGACAATCCCCTCTCTTGACCGGCTGGTCACGCTGTGTTTGATGGCCCCCAGGATGCGGTTTGCCCTCTTGGCTGCCAGGGCATGCTGCCAGCTCCTGCTGAGCTGCTGCGGACCAGCACCCCCAGGTCCCTTTCTGCAGGGCTGCTCTCCAGCCACTCCTCTCCCAGTTTATGGGACGTCCTTGGAAACCTGTTGGAGCAGGTCCAGAGGAGGCCACAAAATTGATCCGAGGGCTGGAACACCTCTCCTGTGAGGACAGGCTGAGAGAGTTAGGGTTGTTCAGCCTGGAGAAAAGAAGGCTCTGGGGACACCTTACTGTGGCCTTTCAGTACTTAAAGGGGGCTTATAAGAAAGACAGAGGGAGGCTTTTTTACCGCGGTCTGTAGTGACAGGACAAGTGTCCTGGTTTCAGCTGGGATGTAGTTAGCTGTCTTCCTAGTAGCTGGTACAGTGCTATGTTTTGAGTTCAGTATGTGAAGAATGTTGATAACACTGATGTTTTCAGTTGTTGCCCAGTAGTGTTTAGACTACAGTCAAGGATTTTTCAGCTTCTCATGCCCAGCCAGGGCACCTGACCCAAACTGGCCAACAGTGTATTCCATACCATGTGGCGTCCCATCTAGTTTAGGAACTGGTAAGTGGGGGGGGCAGTGGTTTCGCCGCTGGGGGACTGGCTGGGTGTCGGTTGGCGGGGGGTGAGCAATTGCCCTGCGCATCATTTGTACATTTCAATCCTTTTATTACTACTGTTGTCATTTTATTAGTGTTATCATTATCATTATTAGTCTCTTCTTTTCTGTTCTATTAAATCGTTCTTATCTCAACCCAGGAGTTTTACTTCTTTTCCTGATTTTCTCCCCCATCCCACTGGATGGGGGGGGAGTGAGTGAGCGGCTGCGTGGTGCTTAGTTGCTGGCTGGGGTTAAACCACGACAACAAGGGACAACAGTTTTAAACTGAAAGAGGGCAGATTCAGACTAGATACAAGGAAGACATTTTTGACGATGAGGGTGGTGAAACACTGGCACAGGTTGCCCAGAGAGGTGGTAGATGCCCTGTCCCTGGAAACATTCCAGGTCAGGTTGGACGGGGCTCTGAGCAACCTGATCTCGTTGAAGATGTCCCTGCTCATGGCAGGAGGGTTGGACTAGATGACCTTTAAAGGTCCCTTCCAACCCAAACCATTCTAGGATGATTCTATGAAACCCTCCAGATGAAATTTCTCGCGCAACTGAAGGAGCATGAAGTTGTCAGTTTTGCTTAAGAGCGAAAATATTTTTATCATTTAATCGATATCCTGTTCTTTGCTTTATATATAGAAAAGTGGTCAAGACTAAAGAACAGGTCTTATGAGGACCCACTGAGGGACCTGGGGCTGTTTAGTCTGGAGAAAAGGAGGCTGAGGGGAGACCTTATCGCTGTCTACAACTACCTGAAAGGAGGTTGTAGTGGAGTGGGGCTTGGTCCCTTTTCCCAAGTAACAAGCAATAGTATGAGAGGAAATGACCTCAAGTTGTGCCAGAGAAGGTTTAGATTGGGTATTAGGAAAATTTCTTCACCAAAAGGGTTCTCAAGCACTGAAACAGGCTGCCCAGGGAAGGGGTTGAGTCACCATCCCTGGGCGCTTAGGGACATAGTTTAGTGGTGGATTTGGCAGTGTTAGGTTGATGGTTGGACTCAATGGTCCTGAAGGTCTTTTCCAACCTCAGTGGTTCTGTGATTCTGAATGATTCTGTGATTCTAAAACAAGGTGGGCAATTGGTGAAGGGCAGCAAATTCCATGGGCAGAGCCTGTCACTGGAAGACCCGTGCTCTGGTGAAGATGTGGTCTCTGGCAGGGAGTGTGGATTATGCAGCACAGAGATAACACGGGGAATGGGACAAGCTGCAGACTAAAATTGACTGAGCTTCAGTGGTCCTTTGGGTGACTGTGATTCCCCAGATGCATTTAAACCTACCTGCAGGCTTTATAAAGAAGGAAAGTTTGAAAGATAGATGAAAAAAATTAGTGTGGAGTAGTTTTTGTCTGCAACTTGGTTTTGACATTCAAAGACATTTCAAATAACTTACCCTAAAATCTCTCTTGGCTGATTAGTATCTGGTATTAAACCTTAATGCTGGACACTCAGCTTTTCTGTGTTCCTGAAAAGCATTCAGATAATTGTGAACGTGGTCAAAAATGGTTTGATCAAAATTTCCATATTTTTAGGTGAAAAGGCTTGTACCATCACAATGAGATAGTGGGAGGGGGAGACTTGTGGAAGGAAAAAAACTACAGCGCCTGTGAAGGAACAAAGCTGAAAGGGAGATCTTTGGGTGACAATATCCCCTTTCCCCAGGGCATCACCTCCAGGGGTCCCTCACCTTGATGGCACAAGACATTTCCTATAATAAAATCGGGAGGAATCTGCTAAGGGCAGCATTGCACAAGCTGCAGCATCCTTTCTGCTGAGGTGGCTCTGAGAGCGGCAGTGATTCCAAGGAGCTGGGTGGTTCTGAGGAATTCATTATTTTCCCTTTTGGGCTCCTGTGTCCGAACTGTCTTGAAGTCGGAAGGACTGGCTGGTTCGTGGGGCTGAGGGTGGGCTGGGCCTCCTGGCTCCAGCCCCGGTTGAAATCCCAGTTCAGGCCGGTGACCAGGAGTCCCAGAATCGGGGTGTGGACCCTGAGGTGGTGATTCTCTCAGCTGCCTCCTTCAATCCTGATCTGCATTCTTCATCACTGTTTTCAGCTTATCATTAGACTGCAGCAATGCAGATTGATGAGATGTGTGGTAGGAGAGCTTAAGGCTCCAGGCAGTGTAATTGTAATATTAGCATTAGCAGGAGGCATTGCAAACATAAAATTTATTTTCTGCGTACAGCTGTCTTGCAGAACTCAAGAGCAGAACTCGTCCTGCGATCACAGGGAGCGAAGTCTTTAATGACCTGCAAATAGCACCGAAAGAGCTGAAAAGTGGGGCTGCCAAAGCAGAGCTCTCGCATGCACAGCAGAATTTAAAAATAGGCTGCTGCTGGCGTTCTCGCTTACTCGTCGTTCCTGGAAGCCCACGGGGAGGATGGCTCTCCAGCAGAGGAGAGACGCAGTCCCCTGACGTAACTTGCCTCGGCATCTACGCCGCAGAGCGGAAAGTTGCGGATTCAGTCATTTTACACCGGAGTATCTCTGATCATTGCCTGCATCTTTTCCAGCTCCAGGTCTGCACTGGGCGCTGACTCCTCTGCCCAGAGCAGCAAGGCGGCAGGGGGCACTGGGCAGACACCCCCTTTCCCAATGGCGCTGCCATCCCAGTGGGACCGAGGAGTCCCTTTAGCTTAGCATCGTCAGCGCCTTCAGCGAAGCTCAGCGCGTGTGGGAGAAGAGACACGGGAGAGATGAACGCCTCTGCAGATGAAACTGCTCTTCAGAAGCTCCCACCAACAGCAAGAGGTGTCAGCCCCAGTCAAAGACTTGGAGACATGTTGTGGGGAAAGCAGTTGGGCCAGAAAAAAGAGCTTGAGGGTGGGAGCGTGGGGAGCTGGGGATGCTGAGCTGCAGCATCTCTAGGCAAGGATGAGCTCTGCATTTACAAAGGACCGCAGAGAACCAGGCCGTGAAACACCCTGTCCCCGTCATGAGCTAGGGGTCTGCGACAAGACCCCGAGAAGTCACCCCTCCACACCACAGCCCCATGGCACAGCACTGTCGCTGTGGGGAAGGGCCAAGGAGGGTCCCCCGTGCCGCATGCTGAAGGGCTGGAGGAGGTGGGCAGCTGCTGGCCAAGCTGGGGCTCCCGGCCGGGGAGGTGGGCAACACCTGTGGGTGCAGAGGCTGCTGGGGAGCAGGTCGTGTTGCTCGATCTGCCCGGGGCACTTGGGCAGGGAGGTGCAGGCAGGCAGGACCCCCTGCCCCGAGGTGCCACAGGGGTGGTGGGTGTGCTGCTCTCCCCCATAGCACTGAGCCATGAA